GTTCATTTTATTAATTGTCCAAGGAAGAGTTTAGTTTTCTGAGCATTTTACAAGTACGCTGAAACGATCCGAATTTTTTCGTCGAATTTATACTTATTTGAAAATGGCACGCAAAATTCTCAGCGTACCATTTCTCGTCTTTGATGTCATCAATCCAATATGGCTGCGGCACGAAAGCCTCAATATAATTATAAAATAAAATATACCGAATAACAAATATTGTGTCCTAGGTATGGTCCTAAGCATGGTGGTCAATACAATTCTTACACTTTTATAAATTACAGAATACAACTGGCATTTACATATACCTATCTGTATGTACGTATATATGTGCATACAGATTTGCTCGCGCTGATCAGAATTTCTTGTAGGCATATATAACCTATGTATAACGTATTTATATCTTAATTTTAATTATTTAATGTAATGTATAATACAATTAAATAATGTAATAAAATACTTAATATAAATGTAAATCTTCTTATATGCAATGTACAACTAACTGACAAAATATTTTAATCTTTTTAGTTATGTAACAGAGAATATCAACAATATATATGACGTACATACATTATTCTTATATTATAAGTCATATTCGCTGCGTTAATTATATATAATATTTATCTAATAAAAAATGATCTTACATGGCCTAATTTATAAGTCTTTAAAGATAGTATTTTTAACTTTTCTTATATCTTTTGTTCTTTTTAATTTTTACTCTAGTCTTATCTTACTTATTTGTTCATTGATTTACTTATTTGTTCTTTAATTGGAAATATTAAAAAGAAGAGCAAAGAATCTAGATAGCCAACTGTCTGTGACTTCGCTGTCATTTATGAAGTTATTATAAGATTACTAGAATCGTAAGCAGTAATTTGGAAATGACACCTGCTACCTTTCAATGAAAACTTTGCATTGAAACTATTTCTATTTTAATAGAAACCAAGCAGATGTCATTTTAAAATTACTGCTAATGATTCCAGTAATCTTATATGTACTAACTCCATAAAAGACAGTGAACTCTTATATGCCCACTGCACACTATAGCAATAATCAATCCACAACAGTAGTTGATATCAATAAACAGTTTCAACAATAGTTGGCCTTGATACTGTATATTATTATGATAAAACCGATGAAGAGCGGTCATCCTCACCGATTTGACTGAAAAAAACTCAATCGACGCGCTTTTTTAAAGGCAAACCACTTTTCTATTTGGCAAAATTGTCACTCTCTAATGTGAAGCAAGATATTAATTGACAAAGTTGATCCCTGTTAAGGTTAGGAAAACTCACATCAACGACAAACATGTTTGTCATATGAATGTCACATATGTATTATTTAAATGAAACATGTTTGTCGTTGATGTAACAGTTTTCCTAACCTTAACAGGGAACAACTTTGTCAATTAATATCTCGCTTCACATTAGAGAGCTATAATTTTGCCAAATAGAAAAGTGGTTTGCCTTTAAAAAAACGCGTCGACTGAGTTTTTTTCAGTCAAATCGGTGAGGATGACCGCTCTCCTTCGGTTTTATCATAATAATATACAGTATCAAGGCTAATTACTGTTGAAACTGTTTATTGATATCAACTACTGTTGTGGATTGATTATTGTTATAGTGTGCAGTGGACATATAAGATTTCACTGTCTTTTATGGAGTTAGTACATATAAGATTACTGGAATCATTAGCAGTAATTTGAAAATGACATCTGCTTGGTTTCTATTAAAATAGAAATAGTTTCAATGCAAAGTTTTCATTGAAAG